TACCCAATCATCATCAAACTAGTGTGGATGCTTGTCTAGTCAATTGCTCAGATGAGTTTTGAATATGGGTCATCTCTGAATGAAAAACCAGGTCACAGGAGCTTAAAAAAATAGGAAAACCTTTTGAACACTCTAGTGGTCACATTTTTTACCTAATCAGGATCAAACTTTGTCAGGATGCTTGTTTAGATTAATTGCTTTGGATGAGTTGCACATGGTTTATCTCCGATGAAAAAACTAGGTCACAAGGAGCCTATAAATAGAAAAACCTTGTGAACACCTCTTTAGTGGTCACATTTTTGACCCAATTATTAAAAAACCTTGTCAGGATGCTTGTTTAGTCAATTGTTTGGATGAGTTTGAACATGGTCATCTCGGGTGGAAAACTAGGTCACAGGAGCTAAAAATAAAAAACCCAGTGCGAACAGTTTCTTAGTGGTCACATTTTTTGACCCAATTTCATCATCAAACTTTGTCAGAATGCTTGTCTAGTCAATTGCTTGGGATAAGTTTGAACATGATTAATCTCGGATGGAAAACTAGGTCACAGGAGCTAAAAATAGAAAAACCTTGTGAACACTCTAGTGTCACATTTTTGACTCAATTATCATCAAACTTGGTCAGGATGCTTGTCTAGGTAATTGCTCGAATGTCAAGCTCGAATATGGGTCACCTGGGGTCAAAAACTAGGTCACACTGCTCAAATATGGATAATCTTTGTTAACACTAGTGGTCACATTTTTGACACACCTGTCATGAAACTTGGTCAGAACGCTTGTCTAGGTAATTGTTCGGATGAGTTTGACGGGTCAGGTGAGCGATCTAGGGCCATCATGGCCCTTTTGTTTTCCTTTCAGGAGAAGGCAGGTTACAAAGAGGACTTTTAATGTTCTAGGTTCCCCAAATGTACTGCTGAATGTACAACCTGATAAAGTAAGTGATAATATGAATTATGTCCCATTTAATTAATGACTTATATAGGTATGTATAAATGTGACCGATGAGCAGGAAGGACTTGGTCATCATATCACCTTTAGATTAAACATTAACATTGATATTCAAACAGATAGAATAGTCAAGTCATCAAGAAATGTTGGCAGTATTTTAACTTGTACAAATGTAGGTCACTGTCAAAGACTCGTAGCTCTAGTATGGATCATATTGCTCTTTGTAAATTTGATCTTACAAATTTTTAACTGTGATTGATAATTTGTAAATTGATAAATTATCAAGGCTTGTTTACTATCAAGCACTGAGAATAGTTGTGTGTGCTAGGATATAGACGGTTATTTTTAGCTTGACTATTCGAAGAATATGAGAGCTATTGTAGTCGCCCCGGCGTCGGCGTCAGCGTCCGCGTCGGCGTCTGCGTTGGTTAAAGTTTTTTGTAAAGTCAAATATCTCAATTATTGCTTGAGATATTCAATTGAAACTTACAATACTTATTTATAGTAACAAGGTACATCAGATTGACAAGTTGGATAACTCTATCTACAATATTGCCGAGAATTATGCCCCTTTTTAACTTAGAAATTTTTGGTTAAAGTTTTTATAAAGACAAATATCTCAATTATTGTTTGACATATTCAATTGAAAACTTACAATACTTATTAATAGTAATAAGGTAACATCAGATTGACAAGTTGGATAACTCTGCTACAATATTGACAGAATTATGCCCCTTTTTAATTTTGGAAATTTTGGTTTAAAGTTTTTGTAAAGACAAATATCTCAATTATTGCTTGAGATATTCAATTGAAATTTACAATACTTTTTTATAGTAACAATGTACATCATTTTGCTAAAATTGCATATCTCTGTCTGCAATATTTGCAGGGGAATTATTTGCCCCTTTTTGAAAACTTAGAGATTTTGGTTAAAGGTTTTAAAGGTCTTCAAAGAATATTTACTTGAAACTTTACACAATTGTACTTACGGTTATAATTTGAGGTCATAATTGTATGTCACTGACCAAGTTCCATAACTCTATCTTGCATTAAAGGCTGATTCATATCCCCTTTTCTACTTAGTCTCTTGGTTAATGTTAACATGCAAGTTTTACATATCTCAATAACTATTAAAGATATTTATTTAAAACTTCACATATGCATTTAGGGTCAGAATTGTAGGTCACTGACAAAGATCCATAATTCTATCTTGCATTTAGGCTGATTTTTCTTCTTTTTTTCAACGTAAAATGACCTAGAGTCATAAAACTTTACGGAAATGTTGGTCAGCATGTATAGTTGTGCATCTGGGGGTTTTGTTGTTGATTGATGCAACAGTCTGTCAAGTTGTTCCTTCTTTTCCTACTTTCTCCTACTTTTTTAAGTGTTCCTACTTTTTCCTACTTTATTCCTACTTGTCTTCAATTCCTACTTTTTAAGAACTCAAGAAATTTGCAATAAAAATAAAGTTGTACTTCTAAATCAGTGCTTAGTATCAGTTCAGGATAGACGTGATTGTTTTATGACTGTAAGACTGCAAGAAGCTTTTATTTCTGTGGCACAAAGACCCATACTGGCTGTCCCACATGCTATTTAAAGTTACCTGTGACAGTCAGATGTATATGCAGGGCACCAGGTAATTTTTTGTAAATGAGTAAAACGGTTAGTTTATTGCATATTGTTGCAATGCACACAATATATCAGGGGTTTACTTAAGGTTTTGACTTTCACTTGCCCAAAGGGCAAGTAACTTTGAAAATCTACTTGCCCCTAGGAAAAGCAGGTTGCCCGATCTTAAATGTGAAGATTGTTAATAATCAAAGCAGAAATTATGGGTAAAAATAAGATTTATTGCAGATCCTATCAACTAATGCATCAGATAGTAAAATAGTCTTAAATTCCCTACTGCATATGTTTTTTTGCTAATTCACAATAGTCTAGGGGTTGACACAACTGTCTTTGCCATGGATCCCATAGAAATCCCTGAGATTTAATTTAGAAAATCTCCTAAATGTCAGGGATTCCTCACATCAAAATAGTAAAATGAAAGTGAAGATTAACAAGGGGTTTTTATTTTTTCATGAGATCACATGCAGGATTTTGCCTTGTTTCAAATTGGCTAATGCAGTTTTGAGCCCTTTTGAAAAATTGCTGTTATAAAAATTTTCAATGTGATAGATTAAGATTAAAACTCAATGAACTTTGAAAATAGCAATTTTGCTTTAATCTTAATTCTTCTTAGAGTTGTGAAATTTATGTACTGGACTATAAGACTGGGCTTGAAGTTAAATAGGAACTTGGAAAACATCTTCACAGGTTGCCTAAGGTCCACCAAAATAGTCATGTTAAATCTTATAAAAATTACAATTAATAATTAGGCTTTTAAAAAATATTAACTTTCAGATGCTATCACGATGCTATCACTTTAAAAAATATTTATTGCCTATTACAACTTTAAAAAGGAAACAGTACATTGATTGTTGAAAATTGTGATAGGATTTAAAAGTTTATTGTTGATTTCAAACAATGTAAAATATCAAAAATATGTTTGCTTTGTTTGCACTACCAAACTAGTTATGTGCCTATCAAATTATTTCATTTTTTAAAAACAACAAGTTGCTCCAAGTCCATGACAACATGTGTTATACTCAATTTAAATTGATCTGTCTGATTTCTATCCTCCCTGTTTGTATAGAAATTTATTTGAACTTTTAACATCGGTCACATCAAAGGGACACACTGCATGCAGTAATCATACAGTTCAGAGCACTGATTGGTTCAAAGAACTGTTAGATGAAATATACGTCATTTTCTGTATGTTTCACCCAAGGAGTTTCTTTGTTTGTTTTGGTAAATTAGGCATGACCTAGATTGACCTCTTACACAATATTTTTAGAATTAATGCTGTGATTTACCAAAAAAGGATTTTAAACATTTTATGGATTATTTTATTCTGTTTATTAATGAATACTTTTAAACATTGCTGTAGGTGAGAAAGGAAAATAGATTAACAACAGTTCCAGACTATTATGATTTTTGGTCAAAAGTTGTGTAAAAAAGATTACTGGGGACGAATTTTGTCTTAAACAAAATATATATTGCATATGAGTTGACGCAAGTCAGTTAAAGATTGATCGTACGAAGAAAAAAATAGCGTACAGGATTCAAAGGAGTAGACTTTAACGGCGCAATTTTTCTGTTCTTTCTTGAACCTTGCAGTTGTGTCAGTCTTTATTGACATAACTCATTTTGAATTTTTGTGAATTTATGCTATTTATTCAGCAAATCAGATTGTTTCTTTGCCATGGTTTTTTAAGCTCACCTGAGCATATGCTCAGGGTGAGCTATTAGGATCACTCTTCGTCCGTCATCCGTTGTCCTTCGTCCGTTGTCCGTTCTCACTTTTAAAACGACATCTCCTCTGAAACCATAAGGCAGATCATAATGATACTTCACAGGGATGTTCCTTGTGTGAAGCCTTAACAAAGTTGTTCAAAGAATTCCATTCCATGCAGAATCTCCTCTGAAACCATAAGGCAGATCATAATGAAACTTCACAGGGATGTTCCTTGTGTGAAGCCTTAACAAAGTTGTTCAAAGAATTCCATTCCATGCAGAACTCTGGTTGCCATGGCAACCGATAGAAAAAACTTAAAATATCTTCTTTTAAAAAATCCAAAGAGGTAGAGCTTAGATATTTGGCATGAAACATCTTCTAATGAGTGTCTATCAAGTTTGTTCAAATAAAAGCCCTGGGGTCAAAATTGGCCCCGCCCCGGGGGTCATTGATTTTCCCTATATGCATATAGTAAAAACTTAAAAAATCTTCTTTTAAAGAACCCAAAGAGCTAGAGCTAAGATATTTAGCATGAAACATCTTCTAATGGGTGTCTACCAAGTTTGTTCAAATAAAAGCCCTGGGGTCAAAATTTGCCCGGCCCCAGGGGGTCATTGATTTTCCCTATATGCATATAGTAAAAACTTATAAAATCTTCTTTTAAAGAAACCAAAGAGCTAGAGCTAAGATATTTAGCATGAAACGTCTTCTAATGAGTGTCTATCAAGTTTGTTCAAATAAAAGCCCTGGGGTCAAAATTGGCCCACGCCCTAGGGGGTCATTGATTTTCCCTATATGCATTTAGTAAAAGCTTATAAAATCTTCTTTTAAAGAACCCAAAGAGCTAGAGCTAAGATATTTAGCATGAAAGATGTTCTAATGGGTGTCTACCAAATTTGTTCAAATAAGTACCCTTGGGTCAAAATTTGCCCTGCCCCGGGGGTCATTGATTTTCCTTATATGTGTATTGCAAAAACTTTAAAAAAAAATCTTCTTAGAAAAAACCCAAATAGCTAGAGTTTAGATACTAAACATGAAACATCTTCTAGTGAGTGTCTACAAAGTTTGTTCAAATAAAAGCCATTGGGTCAAAATTGGCCCCGCCCCAGGGAGTCATTGATTTTATTTATGTGTATAGCAAAAACTTAAAAAATCTTTGAAAAAACCCAAATAGCTAGAGTTTAGATATTAAGTATGAAACATCTTCAAGTTAGTGTCTTCAAAGTTTGTTCAAATGAAAGCCCTAGGGTCAAATTTGGCCCAGCCCTGGGGACATTAATTTTCCTTATATGTGTATAGCAAAAACTTAAAAATCTTCTTTGAGAAAAAAAAACAAATAGCTAGAGTTTAGATATTAAGCATGAAACATCTTCTAATGAGTGTCTTCAAAGTTTGTTCAAATAAAAGCCCTGGGGTCAAAACTGGCCCCGCCCTAGGGGTGTCATTGCTTTTAACTATATGTGTATAGTTAAAACTTAAAAAATCTTTTTTTTTAAAAACTCAACGAACTAGACCTTAGATGTTTAGCATGAAATATCTTCTAATGGGTGTCTACCAAGTTTGTTCACAAATAAAAGCCTTGGGATTTAAACTGGCCCCGCTCTGGGGGCCTACATACTGGTGAGCGACTTCAGGGCCATTATGGCCCT